GGTCACTTGCCAAATTAAGGCACTATTTGTATGGGGTGAAAGACATTAATATCTTCACTGACCATCAACCCTTGACCTTCGCAGTTTCGGAATCTAATCCAAATGCGAAAATCAAAAGGTGGAAAGCGCGCATTGACGAGTCTAATGCACGTATCTTCTATAAACCTGGCAAGGACAATCTGGTTGCGGATGCCTTGTCAAGACAGCAGCTCAACGCTATAAATGAGCAAGAAATTGAGTCCTGCGCTGCAACGATCCACAGTGAGGTATCTCTCACCAACACCATTGAGACGACAGACAAACCCTTGAACTGTTTTCAAAACCAGATAGTGCTAGAAGAGGCGCGTTTCCCCTTAAAACGAAGTTTTATTCTTTTTGGAAATAAGAAACGCTACTTGATCAGCTATACATGCGTCGAATCGCTGCTAGACGAGCTCGAAGATGTAGTCTCACCCAAATGCGTAAATGCTCTCCACTGTAATTTACACACGCTTGCAATGATACAAGATGCATTGGTGCGAAGATACCCAGCCACAAAGTTCTGGCATTGCAAAAATCGCGTAGTGGACATATTTGCGGTTGGAGAAGGAAGGGAAATCCTCACAGTCGAGCATAATAGGGCCCATAGGTCTGCACAGGAAAATGTTAAGCAGGTACTCTCAGAGTACTACTTTCCACGGATGGCAAAAATTGCCAAGGAAATAGTACAAAACTGCAAAACATGTGCTAGGGCTAAGTATGATAGACACCCCAAAAAACAAGAGCTTGGAGAGACACCGATCCCCTCACATGTAGGAGAGATGTTACACATAGACATTTTCTCCACTGACAAGAAATACTTTCTCACTTGCATCGACAAGTTCTCTAAGTTTGCTATCGTCCAACCGGTCGCTTCAAGAACCATTGTGGATCTGAAGCCAGCCGTAATGCAACTTATGAATTTTTTTCCAAAAGCCAGATCCATTTACTGTGACAATGAACCGTCATTGAATTCAGAGACCATCATGACTATGCTCACAAACAACTATGGGGTCAGCATTTCAAATGCACCACCATTGCATAGCATATCGAATGGACAGGTTGAGCGCTTTCACAGCACTCTGTTAGAGCTAGCCAGATGCCTAAAGATCGACAAAGGCATAAATGACACCGTAGAAGTCATTTTACTGGCCACAACCGAATACAATAAGTCGATCCATTCGGTCATCGACCAGAGACCAGTTGATGTGGTTCAGGCGCACTCTGATGAGCCACAAGAGAAGATAGAAGAAAAGATCAGAAACGCTCAGACGACGCTCAGAGCTAGGGAGAACGCAAAGCGGCAGAATAGAGTCTTCGATGTTGGTGACAAGGTTTTGGTCAAGTCCAACCGACGGCTCGGAAACAAACTCACACCTTTATGTGTCGAGAAGGCCGTGGAAGCAGACCTGGGGACCGAGGTCCTCATTAAAGGAAGGGTGGTCCACAAGGACAACCTAAGATGACTCCCTTGTTTTTTTTTATTACACCTTTTATTATAAGCCGCTAGGCAATTTAGAATAAGTTAGATATAGTTTTTCAATTTACCTTTAGCCACTTGGCATAATTTTTATAAAACAATTTGGTGGCGGGTACACCCGATGCCGGTCATTTAGAGTAGATTAGGTCCACTGAAATGCGACTAATGAATGCCAACAGTAGACGGATAGAAGTAAACACTGAGGTTCAAGACCAGCTTAACCAGTTAACATTTGCTGTCAATGGAATTCTCGGGATAGCCAAAACTCACAAATTGATTTATTTATTTGAAACACTGAAACACTGTCCAGAAACAGAATGCGGACGATCGAGTTGCAAAGTTTAATGCTTGCTATTACTCTCGCGAAGGCTCATTGTTAGCCCAAACATTTTGGACTCCTCAGATTTAAAATCAATTTGGCTAGAGGAATCCATCAACACTATACATTTTATAACCAAATTCCCAAAAATTAAAAAAGCCTGCAGAAAAATTACGATTTATCCTGTCGTCCACAAGAACCAGCAACAGCTCTATTCGCCCCATAGTTGGATGCTAAGCCAGAACCACAGCATGCAAATCTACAAGCGGAATCGTTGAGGAAACCCCCTTGTTCACGGCACCACCACCAACAGTAGAAGCTCATCAGCCAGCAACAACTAACGAACTCTTCGCGGCGGCAGAGCCAAGCGACTCTTCATCCATACTAGAACCAAGTCAAGAAATCCCCAAAACACCGCCAACTGCATTAATTCAAGAAGTTTCACAGCCACAGGTTGCTCCAACCGCTGCCCATCTCTGTCGACACCTGCCACGGCTGCCGGCTCATCCTCATCCTCATCGGCAGCGGCGTCACGTCAACTGCAGCTGCCGGCATTGTCGGCAGTTGCCGCACGGCAACAGCAGCTACTGCTGAACGGCTCTCTGAAGAGCAAGACGAAGACATTTCCTGCGTATCGAGCATCGGTGCGCAGCGAGAGCGACGACAAGGAGTACAGGGCGGCTAGCAGCAGCAGCAACACGATACCGACGACGGGCAAAAGTCGGCCAAGATCAGCGGCAAGAACTGTAACAATCTGCTGCACAACGCCGGCAATAAGCTAAGCGTGAGCAGCAACTCCTTCGGCCTATACGCAGCATCTGGCATCATCGCCCAAGAGCCCTGTCTCCAGCAACGGCCATCTGAACAAATACTGCCTGACGGACTTGACGCGCCGCAAGGCCGAATTCAATCGCCAGCTGAGCGCGCCGACAGACTACACACATCACTCGTCCAGTAACGGCTCATAGCATCGCTGGAGTGGTGGGACACAGTCATCACGGCCATCACGGGCACGTGCACGGCCAGTCATCGACGGCGCCAGCCACACTCAAGTCGCTGCAGCTGCACAACTTTGGTATGCATCATCCGATGCCAAGGCCCACGTCCACGTCGTGCACCAACAGCTTCAACAGACGCCACATACGTAGGCGCAAGAGCAAGCTTAGTAAGCGCCTGCTGAACGGCGATAGCGAAGAATCAGTACGCTGCTCATACTGCTCCGTATTGAATGTGAATGAGAACGACTTGCGGATTTCATTCGAGAACACCTGCACCGACTCGCTGGTCACCGCTGCTAATATGCGACCAAGGAACCGAAATGGTGCACTTTGATGATGTGTCGTTGTACGGCACTCCGAAAGAGGAGCCATATGCTGTACTTTAATCTGCATTGGCCTCACTCTTTGGTGGATCATCGACGCAAAGAAGTCCGCGAAGCACTTGCGAGGAGTCGTCGCTGGAATTGGGTCGGTCGAGGACGACCTTACACTTGAGGGGGGGGTAGTTAACTTATAACACTTAGTTAGCTTATAACACTTAATATAAGGTATTATTCAACACTTATTATCGGGTGCTAGACAAGTTAAGGAACAGCCCTGGCAAGAGCAACTCTACTTACGCCGGTGAGGCTATGATTTGTAAAAATATAGATCAGTCTCGTGTTTTAACTCGTACTGATAGGACATGCTAAAAATTGGTGTCATATAAGTAAAACTAAAAATAGTGAATATAATAAGAAAAACCAATAAAATTAACTGTTTCGATTATTCAAAAAAGAACAATTAAAAGCAGGGTTAAAAAGCGTTCTTCCAGTAAACCGCTTAAATAAATATTCACTCCGTCATTTGCTCGTTAAATGGCTTATTTCATTGTCTGAGCCCGAGGCCAGCAATAAGAGGCACAGTCGCCTCTCAACCTAACTTTCAGTCACCACAGGACTGGAAATCATATAATTTACATATACATATACATATACATATACATATACATATACATATACATATACATATACATATACATATACATATACATATACATATACATATACATATACATATACATATACATATACATATACATATACATATACATATACATATACATATACATATACATATACATATACATATACATATACATATACATATACATATACATATACATATACATATACATATACATATACATATACATATACATATACATATACATATACATATACATATACATATATATATGTATATATATACACATACATACATATATGAATAGTCTTATACAAATATATACTCAACCTATACCTACATTAATATATGTAACTTTAGTTCAATTTAAATGAACTTGTTCATGTTCATCCTAGTGCAGTTGACTAATCAGTTCATGAGCTCAAGCAGTAGTTCAATAGAACGATTAGTTCATAACAAGCTAAATAACACTTGATAATAATAAGTCGAATATTTAATCTATTGAATCTATTGAATAACTGAGCTCATAAGTCGTTCATTTTGTTGGCACGCTCAATTAAACTTGTTCTCAAAGGCACGAAAAGTAGTTCCACATGCTGAAGCTGGGAACGGGTATTCCATAGTCGGTCACAGCCCAGTTTCTGTGCATTCTTAAACATGGTTTCCTTTGGCAACGTTTGCTTTGCTGAATATCTATTTCTATCGCATTGCACTTCAATTTTCACTTAGTTTGATGACATGTTCATGTCCGGGCTTACGAATGGAAAACTAACAGATGCTAATTTCGGGAAAACTTTACACTTGTGTTAATCATTTTCCACGGACAGGCTATTCAGTCAGTCCGTGAGGTGCTTTCCTTTATGAGGGCCGCGCTCAGGCAGACGTGGCAAATGGCTTCACGCCTCGTCGGAAATGTTGGCGCTTGGAGACCATTTATATTTGTGCCTGGCTCGAACTTGATTGTGAGTTACAGGGAAAATGTTTGCATTCATTAGATGTGGCGCCGCCTTGAAAGGCCCAGAAAAAGCGAACGTGTTCGGTCCCAGCAATCAGACTCGGCTCACGCAAGCAGAATAAAATCGTTGACAACTTCAAAGCGCAAATTGAAAGTTAAAGCTGCAACATGATGATGATGATGATGATGATGATGAGGCTATGCGAGCCCCTCCTTCAGGCTTCTTTATCAATAAAAACCACTCAAAATATTTACTTTTTGCAGAACCGCCGACGAGCAGGAACAGGAACAGGAACAGAACAAGGAGCAGGACCAGAAGCAACAGCGCAACATGGACGACGATGACGACAAGCTGGTCTCGGACGAAGTGCATCTACGGCAACTCAGCTCAACGCCAGCCTCGGCCTTACAGCAGCGCCGCCAAAGCAACAGCGTGACCCGGTCCGCTCCACCGGAGCTGACACAGCGTGGCCCGACCTTAAAGGAGCCGGAGAAGGAGGCGGAGCAGGGCGTGGTGCTGCGACGGGCCATCGAAAAGGGGGCCATTACCTTGGCACAAATAGACGATCTAAGACTGGAGAGCGACGACGACGTCGACGACGACGACGAGGACGGCGAGGATGACGTGAACAACTACGACGATGTTGACTGCGGCCAGGGCTTGAGCAATCCCGCAGCGCAGACCACAAATGATGAGCAGATTACAGCCACAACAATGGCAACTACAGCCACAACAATGGCAGCTACGGCCACAGCAGCAACAGCAGCAACAACAGCGCCAACAGCAGCAACAACAGCAGAGGTAAGCGTATTGTGTGGAGGCACTTAGGGCTAATTAAAAGCTAAACTGAAACAAAAAACAGCAGGAAGCAGCCACTGGCAGAACGTGTACGCCAACCACTCTGGATATGTCCAAAATACCACGCCTGCCCGGCGACGGGGCACAGATGGACGACAGCGGCGACCTGCCCCATTCGCTGCAAGCCTCCACAGCATCAATTTTATCCAATTTGCGCAAGAAACAGCAGGCAATGCTCGCAGTCGGCGGCGGCAGCGGCAGCGGCAGCGGCTGCGGCGGTGGCGGTGGCGTCGGCAGAGACGTTGACCGACCTGTCGGCGGGGTCTTGGCCAAGCAAACGCCACGGCGCGTGCAGTCCGTGCGCATCGTCGAGGACAAATCCGGCTATGGACCCAAGCGACGCACCGAAAGCTGCAGCATATTTGGCAACAGCAATTTTGGTAAGCCAAATGACACTTCACTCTACAACAAGTCTCTATGCGGACACAATTGAGCGGAAGTAGGATCACGTGTACCAATTCTATTGCCACTCAAACTCAGCAAAGCCAAGCGAAGCACTTTCACATGGGTCGATAAGTGACCAATGTGACTTGGTCAATTGGCAATGGCCACACGAGCCACCTGGCAGCGAATTCATATCTTATGTATGAATGTGGCCATAACTGATACGGAGAGCTGAGTTTAATACGCATCTCATAAAAGAAACAATATACAGAGGCTGCATTAATCAAGCATTTGAAATTTGTATGTTTGCTCGTTGATAAATCAGATTAGTAAAGCTAACAACTGTGTCGAACAGATCTAGGATTAGACTGTGATTGGGAATTCGAATTTAATGGCTTTGTGCATGTTAGACATTAATATTACATTTAAAAAATTATTTATAATAGTAATTGTATTTGATTAGAACAAAATCAATCAATTTAGCCATACTCATCTGCATTACATTTGTGTTTTTAAGATTCCGAAAATTGTCGGACTATATTTAAATATTTTATTTATATATTTATTATTTAAAATATATTTATATTTAAAATTTTTTAAATATATATTATATTATATATTTTCAAATACCTCACGCTAAGCCTTTATTGGATATGCCCTAAACTTTACTAAATACTTAATATTTAAAATTAGATTTCTTTTTATATATAGCTCGAACACTATAAGAGCTCGAGGCAGCAACAAAATGATGCCACCCAGAGGTAGATCACATAGAACAGCAATCGATAAAAAATTGTAAATGGAAAATTGATCTCGAATCTTTCAATTTATTATCAATGGCACTGATTTGCTAAACAAGCTGAAATCAATCTGTTTTTATAAGAGTATTTATAATTCTCTTAGTTTTTTACTGTAATTACCTTTCGAATTACTTTTCCAAATAAAAGTTGTGGGTCTAAAATGCTTAAGTGAGAATTAAAATCGACTTAAGGCTTAAGGCTTAAGGCATATATTAGTTTAAGTCTATCTATAATAGACAGAAATTAGCTAAGGTTTTTCCAATAGAATCTATAATCCTTTGTTTAAGTCTGTCTATAAAAGTAAGAAATTAGCTAACCCTTTCAAATAGAATCTACAATTCTTTACTAAAAGAATAATAATAATTAATAATTATCCACACAGAATTGGCTCACATCTGAAAAAGTTTAACCCAAGCCAGTGACTGTCAAACTGTGCTAGGAGAAAATGTTGTATAAAATATATTCATCAATTAATCTTTATAAGGACATTATCATTCCAGCACAGTTTATGGCTCTGGTCATAATTCAAGTTTCAATGTTAGGCTTAAGATACCCTATGATATTTGCGACTCATAACCAGAAAGCATCCTTTTAGATAATCACACTTCACGCCTAATAATTTTCATTATATTCCTCTCGACTGATACTTGCATTGCATTTAAGTCTCGTGTAACCTTTTTACAGATTATGAACTGGAATCGGGCCAATCCATTGCCAGCATGGCTGGCCCCCAGCGTCCGATGACTAATGAAACGTATTCGGCCTTCAAGAGCGGCAACGTGGTCAAGGGCATACTGTGCCCCTCGCTAACCAACTCCTTCAAGCAGAGCTCGCTGGAGCGCAGCTATCTGACCTACACACACAGGCAAAGGCAGAAGTCGCTCATCATCGTGAATGTGGTGGACTTTGTGCTGAAGATTGTGATGGCGCTCATCTGGATGCTGCAGCCCAAGGAGGAGCGCCTAGAAACTGTGAGTGGCCCAAGGATCACGTCCATCACATGCATGTCTAATCCAAACTTGACCCCGTTTAGAGCACGTCTTACGCGAGCACAGCCACTGCGATTACCTGGTCAGTTTGCTGTGGCATTGCCAATCTGGCCATTTGCTTCCTAGGGTATTGGCGCTGCTTCGCCAACAATTATTTGCACTGGGCGGCGGTCTGCACTTGGGTGCTCTTCAATATACAAGGTGAGTGTGGTGGGAGGGAGCGGCGAAAGAGGGGACACCGGCTCGTATAGGGCATAAATCATGCGTCACATGCGCAGGCCATTAAATTTGCTAATCCTTTGGCCGTCATAAATGTTTTACTGCCTCTGCGACAGGATTCATCAGCGAGGGCGTGGGCTTCGAGAACCGGGAGTACCTGGTCTGGTACATTCTGTTCGTCATATTTGTGCCCTATGCCATGCTGCCGCTGCCGCTCAAATGGTGCGTCGTGGGCGGCACAATCACAGCCAGCTGCCACCTGGCCGTAATTACCATCAACAAATTGCAGGACAAGACGGTACGACCCACACGCACTAGACTTTATTTTTTTCCTATATTTATTTATATTTGCAATACAAATACTTGTAGACGCCACTGGATACGAACTGCGTGCTATTCCAAATCATTGCCAATTTCATTCTATACACCGCCATTAATGTCGCTGGCATGTATACCAAATATCTGACAGATCGCGGACAGCGCTTGGCCTTCATCGAGACCCACAAGGCCATGGAGCACAAAAAAGAGTCCGAAAAGGAATTGCAGCGCACGCAAAAGTTACTCGATTCAAGTAAGTCAACTAAAAATAGAGTTAAAATATAATAAAAAAAAAAATATATATATATATATAAATATATATTTAAATGACTGCATAAGTTAAATAACATTTCAGTTAAATGTAGAATATTTTATATTAATTAAAATATTTTATTATTATAAATATATCTTGAAGTTGTCGAAGCAGCAAAAAGTAAATGTCTTTTCAGAATATTTGAATATATAACTGCATAACACGCAAGTTATCTGCGTTATCTGCGGCCGATAGACAATTTCAATGCCTGAAAACTCACAGCCAGGTAGCCTATAGCTGCAGGTAAAGGTAGCAAAGCTGAGCTCGGCTCAGTTACTTTGAGTTGCTGAACGACTGCAGGCCAAGATTGTTTTCTAGATATTGATTTGCTTGCTACTTGAGCTGAATTTATAATTTGTGCAACATTCTGTTTGCAGTTTTGCCCAACATTGTGAATAATCAAATACGCAGCGAAATGTACAAGGGCACGGACCCCTCTGTGGAGACGCAGTTCAACAAGCTCTACGTGTACCCCATGGACAATGTGAGCATTTTGTTTGCGGATATAAAGGTAGGCGAAGCAGGTCTCGTGTGCATTGCTCAAATTAACGTTTGAATCACTTTCAAAAGGGGTTTACCGAGCTGGCGAGCAAGACATCAGCGCAGCAATTGGTGAAAATTCTAAACGATCTTTTTGCTCGCTTCGATCGCATCGCGGAGGTAAGTTGTGTTCGGCACGTTGCACGATGCCTTTCACATTGTTTTCTGCTACACAGGATAATCATTGCTTGCGCGTGAAGCTGCTCGGTGACTGCTACTACTGTGTTTCACAATTCGAAAGCGACAACTGGAAGACGCGGCCGGATCATGCGGTGTGCAGCGTCGAAACCGGGCTGCACATGATAAAGGCCATTAAGGATGTGCGCCTGCATACGCACGTAAGTGACAGGAAAGCGACTGTTGTAATCTGCTGTCAATTAATTAATGCGCAAAGGCAGTCAGTGGATTTTTACATGTTTGCTCTCATTTATATCTTTTATACGAGTAGACGTATATGTTTGCAGTGCGATTTTATTTATTGTTGCATAGTTTTAGGTGCTTGTTGAAAACAGTGGCAGTTAACAGAATGCTATTGAGTGCACAAGCGCTGAAATACTTTAATGCTTCTAACAGCGCGTTGTGCTGTAAACGTATGTCAGCTAACATATTGATGTTAACGCATAACAGTTGACTTTTATGCTGCAGAAAGCTGCAATACTTTAATAGAAAACCTAATATAGCGAACATAGCGCTGTTAGAAAGAGTTAAGCAAAGTGTTAAGCGTTGAAAAACCACGCCACAACTCCCACTCTGTTACCGGCAGAAAACTACAATAAAGCTTACAGAGCGCTGTTAGTTAGAGTCAACAGTTAAACTGCGGAAAGCTTTTAAACGTTTGCGCAGCGGCATAATTTTTTGGAATTTAATGCGGCAGATTTTTCAGCTGTCAGCCCATTTTTTCGTTTCTTTTTTTGTAGATAGCCGCTTTATTTTTACGAATTTTGCACAATGTTTTTGCTGTGGCCGCTGCGTCGCTTTATGTGGCCCATGTACTGCCTGTTCGCTGGTCGTTGCTGGACGTGTTGACAATTCATTTGTATGCAAATCTCAGCAGAGCAAAAGGCAGCCAAAAACGAGCGACGGCAACGTCAACGGCATCAGCAGCAACAAAAGGCTAGGCTGTTGGAAATTAAGATACCCTGTAAACACCATCTACCAGCTCTTGCAGCAAACACATTTATGTATTTCAATAAAACTGACTTCTATATCGATGTGGATAAATTTTAGTGGAGTTCGTAGGCGTGGAAGTTAATGCGATTTAAAGCTAGAAATCCCCATTTTACAGGGTAAAAGAGCAACAGCACAATGTGTTTTTCATAGCGCAACGCAAAAAAAAATTAATAGATTTTACGATTCAAGGGGAACCTCATCTTCCCTCGACCTTTGGGTCCTTTAAGCGCATTTAATGAATGCAAAACTTACCGTGGGATAATGACAATTGGCCGACGCAATGTCCGAATGACTGTCAGTTCAACAGGCATTCTGACAGCTGCAGCGACCCCAAAAAGTATGCGGCGGTTGCAGTCGCAGTTGCAGTTCCAGTTGCACTGGCAGTTGCAGTCGCAGTTAAATTCGTGCTTTGCATAATTTGCGTTCGTTAATTTTACAGGTCGACCTCAACATGCGCATCGGCATACACAGCGGCTCCGTGATGTGCGGCGTGCTGGGCAACAAGAAATGGCATTTTGATGTTTGGTCAAATGATGTTATCATTGCAAATCACATGGAGTCTGGCGGCATTCCCGGGTAAGTCCACTCACGAATTAGTTTCACCAAGGCCATTCCCGTGGTTGCACTAATTAGCTCTGTTGTCAACAAGCAGGTAGCATAGCATATGTATGCCTACAATAAAGGTACCTCACAGTTAGCTGCAGCCTCACAAAGTAACAAAATATTTATAATTTAAGATGTATATTTACCTTGGAGTTGAAACAGATTCGAATTGAGTCAACTTATTTATAGTACTCATAATAAAGGTATATTGTATGGATATCTGCTTGAAGTCTTAGTTCAATTAAGCAACAGAGTGACTATCCACTGATGAATTATATATGTAATAGAGCCAATTACGCGTATGTTTACAGCTTTCATATCAAATTGATCATATTTCAGTCTAAGCCAACCGATGAAACGCCCTGTAATAGAGCTACTGAATTATATTTGAAAATTGACTGTTTATCATGTATAAATATTAGATATTAGATAGAATTTTCAATCAATTAAAATATATGTAAATAGATGATGCATACTGAACTTTAGTTTCTCAAAGAAATAAGAAAGAGATAAACGAATAACGCCTAGAAGATGCCTGCCAAGCAGTGACAGTGTTGGTTGGACGCACGATCACTAGAAGACGAAGTCAGTCGCAGATTCCCTTTAGAAGTAAAATAGAAAAAGTAAAATATCGAAAAGTGTAAAGATAATGTAACGCATTCTTTGACATATTTATAATAATATTGAATCTATAAAAAATATATTTTATAGTCATAAATGGTCTAAGCAATTTGTAGCTATTCAAATAAATTTTAAATTTGATTATTTATTGCTTTAGAGAGCGCTTAAGATGTTTTCAATTGCGCCCCAAAAAGTATGCTATATTTTAACCCAAAAGAAAATTAAACTGAAGAATTTCACATTTAATTTGGCAAAAAGCACTGCTGAAAGTATTTAGGACCTTTGGCTTGGCACTTTGTAATAATATTTCGATCGGATTGCAGCTCAAGTTTATTGGCAAAGATTCAGGAATGCAAAAATCTCGAATTGCTGCAAGCCGAAACGAGCTGCCAAATAACTTTGGCTGTGTCTAGTGCTGTGTTGTGCTGCCTTAGCCTTAACTCGCAGTTAGCCACATTTTAATTGGCCAATTAGGGCATGTCTAAAGCTGGCAGCAACCAATAATTGCTGCCGTCATTTTTGCTAGCTCAGACCAGCAACAGAGGCGGAAAACAGCAACAACTGGCAGCAGCAACAACAGAAGAAGACAAAACAAATCGGGGAACGACCACAAACCGAACAAGATGAAAAGCAAAAGGTCCCATTTAATGCAAAATGTTTTGATTTAATTGTGGTCTAGGCACAGACCAAATTCAGGGCCATAGCCACAGCCAGAAGCAGCGCCAGGGCCAGAGAACTAAAGACCTAGAGAACTAGAGAAATAGAAATACAAACATAAAACAAGGCAGCAAGCACCACAAGGGCATCCCAATTATGGAAGGCACACAGAAGGGAGCTGCGGGGTGGGCAAACTTTACGCACAATCGCAGAAAACGTGGACAAATATTTGAATTTAATTTTCGCCAACTAACTGAGCCGCACCACCTTTTCAGACGCGTGCACATCTCGGAGGCGACTCTCAACTGCCTGAACGATGCCTACGAGGTGGAGCCGGGCAACGGCGGCACCCGAGATAATCATCTCAATAAGATGAACGTGACTACCTATCTAATCAAGCGAACGGAGCCATTGAGGTAAGTGCTTTGTTGCTTCTTCTTATCCAGCATTTAACATCCTTGACTCGGCGCAGACCCAAGCGACGCTTTGGCACGCGCAGCAGCGTTCATCAGAGCAGCAGCATTGCCGCTTCTGTTCCCCATTCGGGAACTGCGCCGCTGCCCAAATCGATCTCGGCCAGTGGCAGCGGCAACGATTGCAGCATGGGCAGCACCGCAGCTGTGGCCATTGGCGACGGCGGCAGCATCGATGGACGCAGCCTGGAGTGCGCCGTCGCCCTGGCTGTGCAGCAGCCATCACAGCTACTCCAGCAGCAGCAGAAGAAGAACATCTCGCTCAACTCGCTGCCCAATGTAGTCGAGGGCGTGGCCCTGGACAACCGCCGTCTGCGCAATGGCATAGCCGCCGGTGCTGCCATCAATGCGAACGCAAGTGGCGCCGGAGCACCTGCTGGCCTGTCCACAGTCTCCTCTCCAACGGCCATGATGTCCAATCCACTGGAACAGCAGCTGAGGCCGCGCAATGGCGCCAGCATACAAAATCTAACGGACTCCATCAGCGCCAAGGGCCTGGTCATAGAAGACGAGAGCACGACCGAGTGGATACCGGAAATACCATTTAGAAATGTAAGTCCAGTTGCTAACTGAGTGCTGGGATCAGTTTTAAAAATATAAAGGAAACTATTATAGAAGAAACTAATCATCTATATAAACTTTAGTAGAAAAGAAACTCAGAATTTAGGATCCTTGAGCTTAAGAATTTTTAGAAAATTTATAGATACTTCAGATAATCAGAAAATACTGAAAATATCAATTTGGACATGAAGATATATAGCATAATTGTAGACACTTTGAAATAGAGCGCTTCTACAAACAATCCCATCACAATTTAAGATTTTAATGAATGCTACATTAATCAGTTAATGAGCGATTCGCCAAGTAAAACGGACGTCTTTACGATATATATATATATATATATTAATGAATAAACCCAGTAATCAGTGAAGCATTCATTCGATTATATTCTGTACTCAATACAAAATATCGTGTGAAGTGGCTCTGCTCACGATTCAAATCCCACGAACTTTACAGAGTTAACTTATGCAGAAATAGTTTGAAAACAATCCACCAACCGCTAGATGGCGCTGTTACACACAAACCCCTTTTCATAATAATAATAAAATTGGTATTTTATTAAAATTTGTAGTTAAACAGTCCGGAGGAGACTTTGAATCGCGCAGATTCCATATTGGTAGATTCAAAACTTGATCATCGCGTTTCGGTAACCCCCATGGATGAAGAGGTATGTGATAAATCGATTCGTATATGCTGAAAGATAATCTATTAATGGAATACCGCACAGATTGACGAGTTCATCGAACAGAATATACAAATCAATTCGAATAAGGAAATACGACGGGAATATCTGAATGCCTGGACATTGAAGTTCATCGACAAAAGCCAGGAGCAGAAATTCTGTCAGCTGCGCGAGGATATGTTTCGGTGCGTATGGATCGAACTAAATGTGAAAGGTCAACAATTCTCAGCCTATCTCCCGCTCTCTCCCTCTCTCGGACTGCTTGGGCTTTAATTAATGAACTGTTGCTAATTGATTTATACCTTCTGTATTACACATACCATCAGCTCCAACATGCTTTGTGTGTTTGTCATTTGGATATTTATGGTGCTATGCCAGGTCATCATTATCCCACGCTGCACCATCGTCATCATTTGCTTGGCGGTCGGCACTGTGGTGCTCACCTTCTGCTGCGTCCTGGTGATGGCCGAGGAGTTTCCAGGTAAATCAGCTTCATATTAACAGCTGTCAGTGCTTATCAATTTGATCGACTTCCAGGCCTGCCTGGTTGCCTGAAAATCAATTCTGCCAAATTGGTTCATCAGCGTCGACGTCGCACGCTCTTCATTTGCGGCGTCATTGTGTCCATGTGCTTGCTAAGCGCGATTGGCCTGGTGCTCTGCCCATCCTCTAGTTACAACGGCACCACGAATGACGTGCGGCTCCTCAACGATTCCTGGGACAGGGACTCGACGGTCTCCATCACGCAGACGATTCAGCGAAATATCACAATACGCGCGCCAGCTATCGGTGGCTTGTCCATAGAGTCCATTGCCAATCTGACCACACCACTGGAGTCCTTCGAGTTGTCGCATCGACCCTACACATTAATTAGGAATAGTCACAATCCGATTAGTGTCCCAGTGGATGATAGTTTCCGCTGTGTGCACCGCGAATACATTGTCTTCACCTGGGTGCTCTGCCTCGTCTCCCTGGCCACGGCGCTCAAGCTGTACTACCTGATCAAGGCAATCATGGCCCTCGGCATGGTCGCCTTTTACACCACACTGATCTTCATCAGGTTCAGCACCGAAGAGAGCTTCAGCCTGGCCAAGCTGAGACAGAACGGCATGCCTCTGGGCGTACAAATGCTAATATTGCTCATCACCTTTCTCATCATGGTGTGCTATCATGCGAGACTCGTCGAGGTAAGTCACTTGATATACAACTTTAGTTGTTCATTTGCTTCGCATTAGCTTTAAGCTGTCTTTATACGACTTCTGGAAACAACTCTACGGCACGCTTGCTTAGCTCTTCATATTTAGAAACGAAAAGTTTAAAGGAAATCTTAAGTTACTTAAAAAAGTTAATTTTTCTGATTTGGGAAAAGGCGAAATTAAGCTGGTTGTGATATACGATATACGATATACGATATACGATATACGATATACGATATACGATATACGATATACGATATACGATATACGATATACGATATACGATATACGATATACGATATACGATATACGATATACGATATACGATATACGATATACGATATACGATATACGACATACGATATACGAGCTACGAGCATTTGTATAGAAGCTATAAATATAGTGCGTATTAAAGGAAATTCCTAAATTCTTGAAAGTGAACCAGAAAGCTCTAGCTGGAACTGCTCAACTAGGAAATACCATTAAGCCTCTCCTATCTTTTATACTTTCTATAGCTTGTATATAGCATAAAAAATCACGTAAGAGTGCTCTAGTCGAGAAGGCCCGACTAGTAGATACCCCACAGCCTGTGCTGGGCTTCAGTATGTGCTTTACTATGGGAACTAAATTATTGGATAATATTTACTACAGAAAGACTTTCTTGTTCACATTTTAAGGGCCTGATAATACCATTCATATGTCTGTTATTGCCAAAGCACAATTTTCTAGTATTTGAAATACGTTTTTTTAAATTGTGGGGAAAGTAAGGGGGAGGTATCCAACATTGAGAATATACCAAATCATTACATTAACAGTAAATCTATAGGTATTGAAGATACTTGTAAAAACGAATATTGATTTTTATCAATAACTACAAAATGGGTTTAGTTATCGTAAATGAGAAATTATAAACACGTGCTGCATATGTATGCATATATATGCATTTCAACTTTCAAGTATAGCTTATAGGGATTAGAAGATCGCTACGTTTACATGTACAGACAGACGCACGGATGGACGCACTGGTCTAAATCGACACAGCTTCGTCCTGCTTACGAATATATGTACTTTATGTGGTCTGCTAGTCCTTCTTCTGCCTGTTATACACATTCTAAAAAACATACCCTGATTTCTCAGTTTCAATGGTAAAAAAGAAAAAAAATAAAGTAAAAACTTTCTATAGTGTTACATGAAAAATAGTTCGATAATATGTGTGGAGCGTGATAAGAGCTGAGCTAGGCAAGTCTCAAGAAATATGTCCTTCAAGCACAGTGCACAGTAAAACCTAGAGAAACTTATTCTAGAATCAAATAGCAGAGACAGAGTCAAATCAATCTTATTATAGGAACTTAGCTGTCTATTGATAAATTGTTTCTTTGCACATATTTCCATATATTGCCCAATCTATACAATGGCGTTGTTCATTTGCAGGTTACCTCGCGGCTGGACTTCATTTGGAAGGAGCAAGCGGAACGAGAGCTGACCAACATGAAATCGAATCGTGCACTTAATGACACATTAATTAAGGTAACGGTTTCTTAATCCAGCCTCGTGATTGCTCATTAATTAAATGCTTGATTTGAATGCTCTCCCAGAACATTTTGCCGGACCATGTGGCTGAGTATTACCTGTCCGACGAGCACACGGACGAGCTCTACTCCAAAATGCACAACCTCTGCGGCGTCATGTTCGCCTCCATTCCCAACTTCCAGGACTTTTACTCGGAGGACATCGACAATGGCAAGGCGTGTATTCGCATTCTGAATGAGATTATCTGTAAGTTGATTGATTCAATGGTGTCCACACGTCTAATGATGCTTGCCGTTCACCTGCGTCCAGGTGACTTTGATGAATTGCTGGAGGAGCCGCGCTTTGCATCAGTTGAGAAAATTAAGACAGTGGGCGCCACCTACATGGCCGCCGCTGGACTCAATCACGAGCATTTGCGCGTTCGCGGTGAAACCCCCGAGGATAGCGTCTGTGACCTGGTGGAGTTCGCCTTTGCCATGAAGAAGAAGCTGGAGGAGATCAACGGCGATGCGTTCAACAATTTCCAGCTGCGTGTCGGCATCTGCAGTGGGCCTCTGGTCAGTGGCGTGATTGGAGCACGCAAGCCTGTCTACGACATATGGGGTAATACGGTAAACGTCGCCTCACGCATGGACTCCACGGGCGAGAACTGGCGCGTCCAGGTACCGGCCAACACGGCAGAGTTTCTCTGCTCACGCGGCTATACCTGTGTGGTAATTAGTGAACTGTTGATAAGCTTAGAGAGGGGAGACTGATTCGTAACGTGTCGTTCTGCAGAAACGTGGCGAAATCAACGTCAAGGGCAAGGGCATGATGACCACCTACTATGTGCATCCAAAGGGCATCTCGGACAGCCAACTGATCTCACCTGTGCGTATGCCGGCGGGCATGCCACTCGCCCAGACGCCCAACCTACAGCGACAGACCTCGCATCACGGCTCCTTCAGTGCGGTTGTCTTTGGCATGATGCAGGCCACCAAACGGAGCACCGCGATACCGGGCACACGTAAGTACCTGGAATTAGTATACAGGGAAATCTCAAATGGGCGGACAACCCAACAGACTAAGGGATGTGTCTTCTTAATTGAAGTAAAAGGCAACAACGTTATCTAGATCAGACACATTTTGGATCCCGAATCCCTAACCATACTCTAATCATTATTTACTAACTAACGAACTCCTTAGCTACCGGCACGCCGTCACCACAAATCCGACGTGGGCATCGGGGCAGCACCTTCAGTTCGGTGCGTCTATCCCAGAAGTCGACGACTGTTAATCCAGTGCGTCGTAATACAACCCGAGTGCGAGGACGTTCCTATCGCCAGAAAAAGGTAAAGCCTATCTGATGCATCCGACTATATCCTCTATCTAAAAAATATATATATATATATATTTATCTTCCTGCAGAGCTCCTCCAACAACTCAATAGTCACACAGGCCAGCTCCACGTATATGCCCTCGTTTCGGCGAATCGATCAGATCGAGACAACAATCTCGAAGAGTCACAACGATGCTTTATAGCCTAGCATGCGCACCAATTGGGTCTAAGGACCACCAATTGCCAAACATTACTGTAGAATTTATTTTTAGAAGCGTTTTCATACAGTCGAGTCTAGCTATAGGAACTGGAGTCCTAATAGATCTAACAACTATTCAATTATATTACAGAGCTAAGTCAGTAGAAATCGAAGTTGCTAGCGAATCTATACTTGTAATATATATATATATGTATGTACGTCAGAATTAGTTAACTATGTAACATTATCTCAGCACAACTCTAGTCGTATGCATAAATATTTATAAACATAATGAGATACCATCTTTGTTTGTTCTATCATGTGAATTTTCCCTAAAAGGATCAACGACCTCTTCTCATTTTCTGTGTAGTCAGCTTCCAAATCTACCAGAATATTTGATCTATAACAATTTGCAAATAACTTATATATTTAACTAGCGATAAGACAAATTTCAATTTAGCTTAATTTAATTAGAATAAAGACTTCTTTTAACAATCATAATTCAATTCAATTATTGTACAAAAATATAGCCTAATTTCTCTAGGTCCGTCTATATTTAAAAGAAATACTTAAATATAAAAAAAAGTCACAAAATCCATAATTTAGTGATTTTATGTGCAAAGCGCCAGTAAATTTGTAGATAAGCGATCCGAAACCCATACGCAAATCTTAAAATACAAATGTAAAATATTATAGACCCACATATATATGTTATATATAGCTATATTGGAAATTTGATGTATGCACCAGAGTGTAATTAAATAAAGGTTACTGAAATAAATGTGATAAATAAAAAATGAAATGTCGGGGAAATGAAGTTTTGGGCAAAACAACGGAAGCCGACGAGTATGATCAGACGAAAATGGCCAACCTTAAAGCGAAAACATCAAATATATAACTAATAACCAGCATGGTGATGAATACATAGGAAATGATAGACTAAGATATACCATTCTATGCATCATACATTGACTTAGTGACAGTGCTCTGCTTCTCTTTTTATTGTTTTAAGCAGTGTTTTATCGATAATTGCCAGTGTAAATGCATATTTAGCCAGCTAATCATCATACCCTTCTCAACCACACACAATGGGCATAAAAAGAAAACCGAAAATGACGCCAACGCTCATCGAAATAAATGCGGCTACAATAACAACAAAGACCAACAGAAAACTCTATTTTTATCACAGATGCAGACGAACGCACCTTCGACGAACAGCGTGCAAGAGGAAGGCGCAAGCAACTGGACGGACAGCTGGAGCCGAAGCACTTGACGAGCAGACGGTCCGGTCCGTTCCAACTTCCCACGTTGGTTACGTTTCGTTAAGCGAAATGATGAAAATGCAAATGACATTCGTACGCACGAAGTTCAGCTAGCAACGATGGGGTACGCTATCGAATACCCTAATTATGAACTTAGCAGACTTTCAGTTCAATTCGAATCAGCTATAGCATGTGTATAATGTTAATGCAAAGTAAATTGTGTTAAATGTGTTTAAGTTATTCATTTAAATATATTTTAAAATGCTTAAATCGGCTTGCTTATAATGTTTATATATATATAAATATTTCTGGTAGTCGAGCAGGCCGATCAAGAATATAGGGTATGCACACATACGGAAACAAGTACAACAACAACGCGCAAATGTCGATGCAGCAACCACTTGTGCACTTCCACTTGTTGGCGGCGCCGGCAACGCCTAATGTGAATGTGTGCGGTAGCTGATAACACACAGTTGTTGTTGTTGCTGTAATGCGTGTGCGGTTCAGAGAGCAGCAGCAGCAACAGCAAATGGATCGAACAAAACAAACAATGAATAAATACGAGTAAATTTTAAATTTCCCTACGTTGTGCATTTAAATGTCGATTACCGGTTTCTTGGCCCCTGAACCGAAGCGCCCACCTAAAATATAAATACACTACATAGTAAAACATATGGTACATGAAAGTCTTAAGAAATGCCTGCTGTAAATTAAATTAAATTATATAAATAATATTTAGATTTATTTCATTCACTTCATTCAAATCTTTAAATAATCCTAAACACTAGAGAATAAACGCAAGTTTGGTCAAAATAAATTTCCAAGTATTTTCCGACTAAGAAGCAAGGGAATTACGTTTACATACATACATTCATAAGCTGTATTAAAGTATATGTATATAGGTGATGTACACACGTAAGTGTATTATTCATACAATATATATTCTCAGCATTCAATAGGCTTTTGTATATTTGTACAGCCACACAATGTTGACCGCCTGTAGCGCACTCAGCGCAACAAAAATGCCCGAACTTTCCCGGAACTCACTGCTTCCGCTTGGCGCTAAAGCAACATGTGTACACCAGTCCGGCTTTGTTTGTGTGTGTGTCTCAATGTTTGTATATGTGTTGCCGGCGCAACCCCTGTTGCTAGGCATTCCAATTTCATTCATAAACTGTTAAGCTGCGAACAAGTAATTTACATTTTCTTAAGGCTGATTGATTGCATAATCCATTTTACATAAAATGCATTAGCGAAACCCTTTGTAGTTGTATCAATTATGTACGTATAATTTGCAACTATTAATACGGGCTTGCTACAAAATATTTTATTCAAACATTTAGCGCCACTCAGCGCTCAGCTGTTCGATAAAAAAAGAGAGAATCCAGTGTTAATAAACAGTTATTTTTTCTGCTGGCATGGCTCTGGATTTTTTGATGAAATCACAGAAATAATATTTGATTACTATATGCTAAAAATCATCCCAACAGAGATAAAAATGCAACATTGTTAGTTTTACCTATTTATTTTTCACGCTCGAAACATGACTTAATAGTTTAACAGAGTCTGTTATATTAACAGCATACTATTCTTTGAGCATGCTTTCTCTGTCTACTCTCTTGCTTCTTCTTGCTCTGTTAGTTTGAATTCCGTTCGTCATTATCGTTTCATTTCTCGTTGCGAACGGTTGTGCGATTTCGTGCTCGTGTAATTTTATTGCATTTAGCTATTCGCTCTTTCACAAGTCGAAATCGGAATATTATTTAGCTCATTGCATCTTATACGCATATTCGTCGTTGTCGGCTTTATGCAATATTGAATTGAAACCCAGAAATGATGTGTATATATGCAAGTATTAATATACATAAAGTGCTTAAAACAACAATAAAGTGATGTTAAAAGCATTTAAATACAAAAGTCAACAAAAAAATCTCGAACAAAACGCATACGTTGTCTGTGTCGGTTGCGGTAGAACGAAATCGAGTTATTCTCATTTACAATTCTTATCTAAATGCAACACTGTGAACCAACACTAACATAATGCTGTTGAAAAAGAAGCGATATATGTGTGAAGAGCAGGACGACGCTATTGACGTCGTTGCTGTTGAGGCAAGCAACAACAGAAACACCAACGCGAACAACAACAGCAGCAGTAGTTATGGATCCAACATGGCTGAAACACGCGAAGTCCGAATTGAAGAGCAATTAAAAGTGAAAATTGGTATGTAAATCTGTGCAAATCAATGAAAACTTCAGAACAACCACTAAATGAAGCCAATATGTGCATAAACTAACAACAATTTACACGCGTACGCTAGTTTGTTGATGTGAAAAGTGTATTGGAATGCGAGCGCGTCGCTAGGAGGCGCCCAAGCAAATATAAAACAGCAAATTCAATAGTAGCTTTAAAAAAAAGACGTGCAGCAATAATAATAATGAGTTAGTGATTCCACAAATCAACTAAATGAAATTTATTGTTTAACGATAAAAAATTACAGTATCGAATGCTATTTTTTTTGGCTGAAAATGCATTATTGTGTGTGAGTGTGAGGCAGCAGCGTGCGGTGCTGTTTTCGCGCAAGGTACAACCGTATCATGCCATCTCGCTCTGGCATCACTCGCGTGTGTGTTTTTCGATGCAGAAAGCAACAAACCAACATTTTATATTGTTGTTGTTACTGTTGCTGGCACAGCCAACACGAAGCTAGTTCCGCTGGCTGTTTTGTCGACCAGCCGACACCGTTGCCGTTGCGTTGACTGGCTGAATGTTACGGCATCGCCCCCGCTGCCGCGTGCAGTTGCCCCTTTTTGTGAATGAATTTTGCTTGTGTGAGAGTGACGACGCTTCAGCTTCAGCGCATGTGCCAACACACTTACAAAAACTCACACGCATAGACACACATACATGTGCACATTGAACGATGTGTGGGTTTTTTCATGAATGGAATTCGAATTCGGTGTACTTTTCTCTAGTGCTGCCGCCTACCACACACACACACACACACACACGCACGCACACACACACAAACATTCATGTCATATTCCCAACACAAACGCGAATGATGTTTTATGAATGATTATCAAGAGCAGCTGGATTGCGATGTATGATGCTGATAACCTCGATTTTGCCTCTTGATTGCACGTCCAAGTCCCGATAACAAAACAAAGTTTTTTCATCATCGGCAATATCAAAAAAGGTCAACATCGTCATTTGCTCATGAATGGACAAGAGTTGTATCTCTATACCTGACGCTTTATCATTCTCCCTCTTTCACTCTCTCGCTCTCTCTGTCTTTTGCTCCCTATATTTATCTTCCTGTCTGGTCATAACTGTAACCACTTCAGCATTTGCGACTAGAGGCGACAGATTCTCGTGCTTTTGTTGCGGTTATTTTGTGTACTTGACTGGTTTTACATTTCCTGTATCGCCTTTTTTGTCGCTTTTGGTCTCTTCGTCGTGTGAATAGAGAATTATGAAAGCAACAAAAAATTCAAAAATAAAACCACAGCCAAAACGTGGGACAGAAACAACAACAACTACATAAAAGGGTTACTTCTATTTATGTGTGTGTGTTTGTGATGGCCTCATTTGCCTGCCTGCCTGCTTTCGTGGTAGTCCGATCGCATTTCACACCTGCACGGAGCCCCAACGCTCTGCAAATAAACATATCTTGATACACATTTATTTATTTTTACCTCTTTTCCATATTACTTATACCCCAAGCAGTGGCGCGCTCTACTCAGGGCCTTGTTCGCTGCTTTACATTTTCATTTTCCGCCCAAACAAATTCATTCTGCGTTTCGTTCATAAGCAGCTTTTGCTACGCTACGCTGTCGCCCCTTCTGCCTACTACCTCCCTGCCTCTGCCCCCTGCCCTTGGACTCATAAATTATATGCAAAGCTGCTGCAACAACAACACCAGCAGCAAACATTGTAGCAGCTTTTGATTTCCGTTTCCCATCACATGAATTTCCTTTCTTGCGTGTGTGCACGGTTTCGGCTCGAGTTCTTTTGCCATAAAACTTTTGCTTTTGCTTTTGCTTTGCTCCCCTTTCCAAGACTTTTTGTTGCTGCTCTTTTTTTGCACGCTTCAATTGTTTTCGCATGTGCTTTGCTTGTGTCATTGTCGGACTGAACTTTTTGCTGTCTGTCTTGTCTGTCCGTTTTGCCAGCCGTTTCCTTTCTGCTGCTTGCACCACAACGGCTCAGCTGTCTTTTTCTCCTTCTGCTTTCGGCATTATGCTACCTCAGCAGCTTTTGTGCTGTTTACTTTATTATCTTATGCTTTACTAAAGTTGGTGGCTGACGTTTTTCATGAGGTATCGAAAGAAATATAGCCACAAATATTATATAAATACGGGGTATACCCTATTAAAGAATTCATTTATGTCATTTTTGTTTCATGTTTTAATTATTATTCATATCTGTGAATATTGACATATTTAAACTAAAAATTAGAATGCTAATTAATTCATATAAAAATGCTGAGTATTAAAGTCAACAAATCATATATAAATAGAGTTCAACAGCATTGAGTAAATTAAGGTCACATTGTGACAAAATGTTTCTTCTTAAAATGTAAGCACCGTTATATAGCTATTGCAAGTTGAACGTTCCCTTCATTCCCTCCCGTCCCATTCTTCGTTTTGTGCACTGTGCCCGCTTGTCTGGGTCTGTCTTTGCATATTTTTCTCTCAAGTTTCATATTTCCACTTCATTATGCTTTGCATGCTTAATAATACTTCCACTTCGTGCTCAGTTTCAATTACACAAAGTTTCGCTTTTGTTTGTTGTTGGAGCTTTCCATTTTGTTCGCTGTTGCGATTTCTACACCTCTGCAGCACTGACCGAAATTGGCGTAATACTTTTTCCATTTAATTAAAATGTTTAGCGCATAACCTAAATTTCGTTTTCCATGCGATCGCAAATGAGAATGTGATCCCCTCGCCCCATGTTCAACACCCATTGAGCGCTCAGGTGGTCAACTTGCAAACTTGCAATTTTCCGGCTATAGAGGGCGCACGCCATTCAGCAGCCAGTGACTCATAACTGACTCATTTAACGGGGATGCTAGGCACAAGAAACAAGACAAGACAAGCAGCTATACAATTTATGCTGAAATATTGATGAGAATTTACATGACGCGACGCCCAGCTGACAACGCAGTTGGTGTTGCCAGTTGGAAGTGGAGGTGGAGGTGGGCAGGGTTACGTGCTGGGCTAACATGGGCCACACACGCACTGCGGATTCTGTTGAACTTGAAAACTCTAACAAGTAGCTGACAGTTTGTTGTATATATTTGCTTGTTGTAACAGGCATAAATGAGCACGCATGCATATATATATATATATATATATATATATATATATATATATATATATGTGTGTGTGCGTGTGTGTACATGTGTGTACAACAAGAAATAGTTTTGCCTAAAAAGGCAATTAATTAAAAGCCGGTTGGTTGTTGTTGGGGTCTGAGCAGCAAATCCCAAACTGGTTGCCAACAACCACTTGAACCACTGAGGAGAGGATTGTCCGAGTGCCTGGGACTATTCTAGTTTGTTTTTCTGATCTCTGTTGATCTTCGCTGCTTTGTTGACAATTAGTCTGCCTTGTCGTTTGTCGTGTTCCTTTTGTCTTTGTCGGTTGCTTCATTTATTATTTTTTTTTTTCTTAAATCATTTTTCTAATACATATTTTTGTCTTTATAAGCTGCGTATGCTTGTTACTTGGCTAAAGAACAATTAAAATGGAATTTTTTCATTTGAAACTCTTTAATGTTATTGCCTGTGCTAGGTTCATATTTAAGCACAATCTAACTCAGTTATCTGTTGCTTTGTAGCTGTAGTTTTCACACTTTAAGTGCTCCAAATATTAGTAACTAACTTGTTAGAGTCAAGGGCACTATCGGCAACCCTACGTCGTCTACTATTTTGCTAATTTCATTCACTAGTTCAGTTATGTGAACATAATGCATTGTTCATGTCATACCCAAATGTATAGTTCGATAACCATTGCATAAGTGGAGTAGTTATTATACTGACTCGTGCAATCGAACGATATCATAAGTAATAAAAATCGAAATTTGTTCTTATTGGATATTCGAATCGATGGCGGATTAGATAATTTATCGAAAGTAATTGCTACATTTACTTTCAAATCAAATTCGATATTTAGTGTGGCCATATACTATAATAATATGAGATGCAGTATAAGTTCTCGACACGAATCACTACTCTTTAGGTAGGAGTCAAGTGTGACCAGCTTCAACGCTTTAGAATTGTTGTTAGCAAAACTTTCAAAATTGTTGCTGCTGCTGCGGTTGTTGTCCTTGTTGTCGTCGCAGTTGTTGCTGCTGTTGTACTTGTACTTCCAAAGAACAGCAATTGCATGTAATTAGCGCGTTACTAAAATACTTTTTATTCAGGTCGCCTGCTATGCACTTTTGTGGCAATGTTGTTTAACTTGTAGCTGAAGTTGCCGCTGCGTCGATTAGCTGCAACAACAGTTGACAACGTCATCGACTTGCGCTCGCAGCTCATCACGATCGTCGTCATCGAGATGAGGCTGCAACTGTCGACAGCTCGAATGATTAACATTTGTCTTTTACTTTCTTGCCCAACCATAGTCGTAATAATAATGCAGCACACACAGAGAGTTGAACCCCTCTCGCTCTGAGTCATTCCCTCTCCTTCCGGCTATCGTCTTTTATGACTTAACGCTTGACCTCGCCTCGCGTCACTTTGATGTGCTTTGACTTTGCTTGGGGTCAGCCCTGGGTTGATTGTCTTTGGGCTCTTCTCTGCACCCTAAGCACCAAGGCTTTGAACTTCACGCTGTGCTGCCACTTCTTTTATATATTTTTTTATATAACCCAACTGGCATTAATATATAAAAATTAACTCATGTAATTTGTAATTAAAACTTCAAGTTTGCCTTTATTACGTTTGCTAACCTAACATAAATATAAATTTAATGCTATTATTTATGCGCGCTTCGCTTGTTTCAAGTGTCGTTTTAAGATTATGTGTGTGGCAGGCACTATAAAGGTGTCCCAGGTCGGAAGTGTCATGGGCTTATTAAATCTTCAGTTGAAGTTGTATTTCACTTTACCCTACTTTTTTTTGGATAGAAGAACATACAAAGTTCCACATTTCAGATAATCAGGAGAACGCTAGCTTGGAACTTAATTATTCCCCAGTAAAATGAGTCTATTTTGAA